TGGGTTCAGTCCCACCCAGCTCTAAAGGCAATTCTATGTAAGATAGGTGCACATTAAAAACCTTGTCCCAGAAAACATGATGGGAATGAGTCTTCCTGGAACAATAGTCTATCCTTTTATTATGGTTGTGGATACCTGATTGACTTAGTATCCTATTAGCTCTTCAGATCGTCTTTCATAGTGCAAACCCCAGATAGACAGAATACTTATTTCCTGCCAGGTTTTTCTCTTAGAAACCCTAAAGCCCCTATTTCCCAGCCCATATAAGACAGTGTGGACATGATGGACAAGAGATGATGTTTCTTATGATTCTAAAGGCTCACTGATGTTCTTTGATTGCCAGTATAATCATTTATTCATTCACAGAGTCAACTATCATTTATTGCATGTCAAACATTGGGAATTCCTGGGCAACAGCTCGGATGATTTCCTGTTCTCATGGAGAGCACTAATAACTGGCAGACTCAGTTATATTTCAGAGGGATTTCACCTTGATGCTAAACCAGCTGAACTTGTAGCTTATCCTTCACTAGAGTACTCAGAGAGGGTCTTCTGTGCTCTTGTGTTGTTATACACTGATGTTCTTCAGACAATTATCTACCTCCGCACAGGCTTACCACTCCCTGCCTCCCACTCCAGCTCCCTCACCGGGTAGACCTCGCATTGATCCCCCTTCTCAAAGCCCAGAAATCCTCAGCTTCTGAAACCTCTACCTTCACTCTCTTTCAGTCTCCTGACTTGCAACTTTTCATTGCCCAGAACTGCTTCTCTAAAACCATAAACACCACTCTCCAAATCTCTGAAAACTTTCCATGCCTTGAACTTTCTAACATTTTCCTTTCCCCAGTCCTCCTTAGTGAGATCCTCTCTCCTACCACCTATCTTTGTTTTCACTTTTTATCAGCCCATTTCTGGATATGTAAGTCTTGGAGGCCACTTGAGTTGCTTTCTCATTTCAAACTCCCTGACTGTGTCAGACTTCCAACATACTTTTCTTATACAGCTCCAACTCTGAATCAGGCAGACTGATAATCTCTCACCCACCCTCTGACTGCTGCTTGTAAGGACCTTGCAGCAGGGCATATTGATGCAGCTTCACAAGTGCAAGTTTTCAGTCCAATGCTTGTCTTTACCCAGGGCCCCCTTTCCTCTCAGGTGATTACATTAGACCTTAACCAATTTTTAGGAGCTTCTTGTTCAATCCAACCTCTCTGGCTCCTGTTAAGCAACTCATCCTCCATTTCATCCCCAAACACTAGCAGATGTAATGTCTAGATTCTACCTCCTATTGCTGATAGTTATCTTTATTTTCACTTCTGTCACATTTTTTTCCTTTCAGAAGTCTGAAAAACATCTTAAATGGTTATTTACTCCACAAAGAGCAAAGTCTTCTTCTAGATTTTATAATTAACTCTCTCTCGTGTCCATCCCCTTCCCTCGTCTCCCCTTACCATCCTGTTGGTTTAGACTCCCTTTTGTACTTTCTGGACTGGTGCAGTGGTTTCTTCATGAATGTTCCTGGCTCCAGACATTCCCCATCCCAGTTCCTCCACTACATTGCAGTCAGAATGAATGTTCTAAAATGCATGCCTGTGTGCTATGCTAAGTCACTTCAGTCGTGTCCAACTCTTTGACACTCAATGGACTGTAGCCTGCCAGGTTCCTCTGTCCATGGGATTTTCCAGGTAAGAATACTGGATTGGGTTGCCATGCCCTCCTTCAAGGGATCTTCCCAACCCAGAGATTGAACCTACATCTCTTATGTGTCTTGCATTGGCAGGTGAGTTCTTTACCACTAGCACAACCTGGGAAGCCCTCTAAAATCCATATGGTCCTTCATTTTCTTTGTGAGTGTTTGTGTGTGTGTCCTTAGCATAATGCTTTTTCTGGCCAAAAACGCTTCGTTTTTTTTTCTTCATGTTCGTGACTCTGGTAATAAAATACTATAGTCTGGAGAAAACTTCCATCTTTATTTTTCTCTCCTTTTCTTTCACTTAATTTTCTTTATGAGTTGGGGAGAAATATATCTCAGTCTTGAAGCCTGAGCTTTCTGGTGAATTTGTCTGCCCACAGGATATATGAGGTCTTTTCTCCTTCATGTGTGATCAGTAGGGCAGGTGTGACTCCTGAAGGATGAAGATAAATGCATAGGGTCTTGGATCCCAGTTGCAGCCTAATGTAGATTCCTCAACAGGAAAACTAATATTCTGAGCCTTTTCTGAATTATGTGTCTGTTACTGCATCATTTCAGAATCTGCAGAAGGTAGAATGTGAGTAATAAGCATTTACAAAACTATTTATAACTTTTCATCATCTGGATCCTACTAATAGTTTTATACCATCTGGTGTTTTTAAAATTCAACATCAGTGTCTCCTGACATCTGACCACCATACAGGCTGTGATTCAGTCATTCCACAGTACTTATTGCTTAACAGGCAATGCTGTTTCATTTGTCTGCATATGTACAACAAAGTCTTTTTCCATTCTGATTCTCCATTTAATTCCTGTTCAACTGTCGTCATCTCTCTGAAGCTTATTATTAGCTCCAAGTAAAGGTGATAATTTCTTCAATTGTGTTCACAAAGTTTCTTATACTTTCCTTTCTTATAGCTTGTTTACATGCTATTACAATTAGAGTTCAGTTCAGTCACTCAGTCATGTCTGACCTTCTGGGCCCCATGGATTTCAGCACATCAGGTTTTCCTGTCCATCACCAACTCCTAGAGCTTGTTCAAACTCTTGCCCATTGAGTCGGTGATGACATCCAACCATTTCAATCTCTGTCATCCTCTTCTCCTTCTGCCTTTAATCTTGCCCAGTATCAGAGTCTTTGCCAATGAGTCAGTCTTCGCATCAGGTGGCCAAAATATGAGTTTCAGCTTCAGCATCAGCCCTTCCAATGAATATTCAGGACTGATTTCCTTTAGGATCGACCAGTTTGATATTCTCAAAGCTCAAGGGACTCTCAAGAGTCTTCTCTAGCACTACAGTTTTAAAGCATCAATTCTTTGGGACTCAGCCTTCTTTATGTTCCAACTCTCACATCTGTATGTGACTACTGTAAAATCCATAGCTTTGACTATAAGAATCTTTGTTGGCAGTGATGTCTCTGCTCTTCAAGATGCTGTTTAGGTTTTTCACAGTTTTTCTTCCAAGGAGCAGTTCATTTCAGTTCATTCACTCATTTGTGTCCAACTCTTTGCAACCCCATGACCTGTAGCATGCCAGGCCTCCCTGTCCAACACCAACTCCCAGAGCCCACCCAAACTCATGTCCATTGAGTTGGTGATGCCATCTAACCTTCTCATCCCCTGTCTTTCCCTTCTCCTCCTGCCCTCAATCTTTCCTAGCATCAGGGTCTTTTCAAATGAGTCAGTTCTTCACATCAGGTGGCCAAAGTTTTGGAGTTTCAGCTTCAACATCAGTCCTTCCAATGAATACCCATTACTGATCTCCTTTAGGTTGGACTGGTTGAATCCCCTTGCAGTCCAAGGGACTCTCGAGTCTTCTCCAACACCACAGTTCAAAAGAATCATTCTTCAGCATTCAGCTTTCTTTATAGTCCTCTTACATCCATACATGGCCACTGGAAAAACCATAGCCATGATTAGGTGGACCTTTGTCGGCACAGTAATGTCTCTCTTTTTAATATGCTGTCTACGTTGGTCATAACCTTCCTTCCAAGGAGCAAGCGTCTTTTAATTTCATGGCTTCAGTCACCACCCACAGTGGTTTTGGAGCCCAAGAAAATAAAGTCTGTCACTGTTTCCACTGTTTCCCCATCTATTTGTCATGAAGTGATGAGGCCAGATGCTATAATATTAGTTTTTTTAAAGTTGAATTTCAAGCCAGCTTTTTCACTCTCCTTGTTCTTCCTCATCAAGAGGCTGGTTAATTTTTTCTTCTCACTATTATTATTATTGAAGTATAGTTGATTTACAATGTTGTGTTAGTTTCAACTGTATAGCAAAGTGATTCAGTTATATACACACATATATTTTCAGATTCTTTTCCCTTATATGTTGTTACAAATATTGAATATAGCTCCCTGTGCTATACTAACTGTTCCTTCTTGACCTGCATACACGTTTTTCAGGAGACAGGTAAAGTGGTCTGGTACTCGCACTTCAGAATTTTCCAGACAAATTTGTCTGTTGTGATCCAGACAAAGCTTTTAGCATAGTCAATGAAGCAGAAGTAAATGTTTTTCTGGAACTCCCTGTCCATCATATCTTAGACTTAAGAACAACCTGATTTCGTTATGACAAGAACCTGCTTCCATTCAGTTTCCAAAGATGGGCATAAACCAGGACAAGCATAGAAGAGCAGATCCATGTACTAGGCCCTCTACTTAGCATGGGAGAAGCTGGTTTGAGAGAAATAAATCAAATCATATTTGCAAAGACTGGCACCTTGACTCTGGATTGCCATCCTGACTCTGAATTATGGTGACTTCAAGGGTAACTTTGGAATTGCTCTATTATCTTTGGCCTCTATGTTTTCCAGTCACTACCATCTGGAAGGAAAGAATTAAAATTGGCTTATTAACCCCCACAAACCATACATGAGGATCAAGCATTGCTTGATCTTCTAATGTGAAATGGCCCTTATTCTTGGTACTTGCCTTTCCTTATGGGAGTTGTTTTTCTTGTTTACATAGTGAGGGTACTAAAGCAGAGATCAAAGGAGCTGGGATTACAGCAGAACCAAAGCATGGCAGCTTGGGATTTCTGTTTGGTTGTTTTCTTTTGTTTTCATTATCTTTCTGCCAATTCCGGTCACCTCCCTTCCTCTGCGACATGCTGAGTTCAGCAAGTCCAGCTCTATCAGTCCTGACCTCTGAGCCCATTGGTTTCTAGTTGTCTGATAAAGCCTCTGCTGCAGACAGGACCTGCTACTTCCCTCCTCACAGCACACTTGCAACCAAAGCTGCATATTCCTCTTCTGGGGCCTCCTTCCAGCCTTACATTTCAGTTCACTATCTTCAGCCATCTGGGACATGGCTCTGTTTTTCTTCTTGATCTTTGGTGAGTATTTCTGCTCCTTTGGGTCCAGGCTTCAGTGTCCTCTGGAACTGCCCATGTGGTACAGATCTAGGTATCTTTCAAGGAAAGACTCCTCCCTACTCTCCCCCTTTCTCTATATCTGATAATTATTCTAAATCCCTAAAGCCACTTAATCTGTACTCAATTTATAATCCATCTTGATTGCCAGAAATCTTTCTATTTCCCTATATTCACACTATCAATTCAGTAATAATTTATACTATTGCTTTTCCACACAAATTTTCCAAATGCACTATTTATAAAAAGAAATAAGTGGACCATGGGTAACAGCAAGAAAAGGAAGTAGGGTTGCAGGACAAACATCTTTCATTGATCATACTGATTCTTCTCAAACGTATTTCATGTGTTTCCCTAGTTTTTCCGAGTTTCTTATTGCTCAGATTAATTTAGAGTAAATTGGGATTTTGAAATCAAAGAGATCTGGGTTTCAATCTTTGCTCTTTGATTTCTTAGCTGTCTGAATTTTAAAGATACCATATCCCTCCAAAATTTCATTCTCATCTATGAAGTAATGTTATGTTCCTCAGAGGTTTGTTAAGAGCTTTTCCACAAGATAAAAGAGCCTGCTAGGTCCCTTCCCTAATCAATCACATCCATTTTAATATTCCTGATGATCCAGTATACCACTGAAACCGACTGGTTTCTCAGTTGGGCATTTGTGTGTTGTATGTAGACTGCTGGTTACATTCCAAAACACCCACACACCACTTATGTTACCTAACAGTGAATCCCCCACCTCCTGTTGTGAAGTTACTATTGGATCTCTTAGGCTTATCTTTAGTTGCACTTCCCTCATGAAGTCTTTCTGATCTGTGATACTCATGGTGATCAACCCCACTACAGAGTTCTCAAGTCACCTTTGGGCTATATCACTTTCACTCCTATCAGGGTCATCACATTCAGTTTCCTTTGCATATATACATGCTTTGTGTTATTAGACTTGTATGGTGTTATGCATATTATAACCTTGAGTCTTAGGCAGTTGCAGACAAGGTCTTTTTGAGTATGGGAGTGGCTATATCCTAAAGACTAAGGACATGTGATTATCAACCAATTACTTGAATAGCAAATATTTGGAAGAAACTATTCCAGGACAAGTCAATGAAATACATGGATTTGCCTAAAAAGCTCTAGGCTGGAAGTCCAGTGATAATAACTCCTTCAGAAAGATCCTATAAGATGGGGTGGTGTTGGCGGATGATGAGGGTTTTTTTTTGTTTTTTTTTTGGATGATGAGTTTTGAAGTTCAAAATTCTGGGTTTCAGAGACCACTGATAGTCACAGTACTCTCTCTATAGCATATACTGTTGTTCAGTAGCCAACTCGTGTCTGTCTTTTTGTGACCCCCTCGACTGCAGCATGTCAGACTTCCCTGTCCTTCACTGTCCCTCACTTTGCAATAGGGTGGAGCCTAATGAGCAGATGAGTCTGATTACACAGAGATCTTGTAGGAAGAAACTCTGATCATTCAAAGATGTGCTGATACTTAAACCTGGAATTTTGGAAATTAGCATAGAACTGCTTTCTGAACTCTCAACCAGGTTCAGGAAACCTGGTTTGCTGCCTGCAAACTAAGAATGTATATTACATTTTTAAACTGTGGGAAAAGTCAAAAGAATAAAATTTTGGGACACATGAGAATGACAAGAAATCTAAATTTAATTGTTCATAAATAAGGGTTTATTGGAACACAGCCATGCTTATTCATTTACATGTATATGGTTGCATTGATAGAGCTGATTGGTTATAACAGACTGTATCTAAAATATTTACTATCTGGCCTTTTACAAAAATGTTTGCTCTCCTTTGTCTAAATGCAGCGTCTGTGAACACAGAAAAATACTGCCATTTTCTCCTATGTGAAAGGTTGTTGCTATGAACCATGAATGATGCCGGGATTCTTGGCCTCTGAAGGAGAGGCATTCAACCTGGGGCCAGTAATGAGGCTTGGTCGCTCAGAGCTTTTTGTGTAATCAATTTTTTTTTAAAGTATAAAAGAGATAGAAAAAGCTTCTGACATAGACATCAGAAGAGTGCAGAAAGAATATCCCCTTGATAGTTTTTAGCAAGGAGTTATATACCTATTAGCAAGCTGCTAATTAGAGAAAAAAAAAAAGCCTCAAAATCAAGAGTGACACCAGCTCCCTTCACCCACAACATGCATTTTGAGATAGCTTTGACACAAGGTGAGTCATGCTGGGCCACAGAACAATTGACATTAATCTTGAACAAAGGTGGATTTCATTAACATAGCTTAAGAGAACACTTCCTTGAGTAAAACATACCGGATGCGTTGAGCCTTTATGGGTTCTGAGCCTTAGGCAACCAACTTGAAGAAAGGGAAATAAGGTAAATACATTAACATAGCTTAAGAAAAACATTTCCATAAGAAAAATGCATGGGTTAGCTCAAGGTTTGAGAAAAGTTAAGTTCAGGTGGAACCAGGTGTTGTCATGGCAACACAGAATATTAAAAGAACCCTCCTTTTAATTTTGTATAGAGAAGGAAAAACAAAAAGAAAAAAAAGTTTGATACTTGTAATTTGTTTCCTCCACGTGGGGACTCCTAGCCTTCCTACCGGTTACCCTCTCATATGCCTTTCAAGACATCTATTTTTTTTTTTTTCCTCCCCAACCAGTGCATCTGTTGTAGAGTCTGAAGTCGAAAAACACACCTCGGACAAAACACACTCAAGACAGTGGAATACAGTTTATTACGCCAGTGGGTCCAAGAGGAATCAGTTCCCAACAAGGACTCTGATGTTTCTGAGAGGCCCAGTTTTATACCCCTCCTGCTACATGACTGGTTACATGTTAGCAACCTCTTTGTTGTATATGACTGAGTTGTACAACAAATAGGTGCTAGGAGAACAAACAATTAAGGTTCAGGGTGGGGGTGGGGGGACAATGATTATACGTCAAGGGGGATATCTCCATGGTTAATCTAACAGGGGCAGCCTGACAGTCAACTTCAATCTCCGTTTGTCATCTGTAGGGAGGGAAGTCTCCAGGAGACCTGGTTTTCACTAGTAACGGTTTTCTCACTCTTGGGCAGGGTTCAGTCCCAGTTCACATCCAGTCTTTGAGAAGGATGACAGGCTTCAAGATGGAGTCTCACTTGCTTCTCTCACACTGGCCTCAACACATCTTCCCAGAAATCTCCAACATGTTTTCCTGTTGGACTCAGATACTACATCACCACACTTCTCGTTTAGGTGGTAATCACTGATCAGTCTAATAGATTAAAACAGAAAACCAAATCTATCCATGCCTGGGGTAGAGCCAACATCAGATGGAAAGGGAACATGATAGGTCTAATTAGCCATGGTAGAATGGGTTTGGGCTCTTAGTCAGTGTCCATGTATTTTTTTTAGGCTGGTCATTCTAGGAGGAGAGGGAGGAGAAGGAGAAGGTTTCAAAAAGGTCTAACCTTGGGAGCTGTGTATTTATCTCTCTGTTCCACAAATTCAACAAAACTCTCTAGAGAGTTGCATTTTTGAACAAAGCCTTGGCAGTTGACTACTTGATCTCATTCACTTCTCTCTCTCTCTCTCTTTTTATTTGCTCAGCCTTTTGCACCGGACCTGGACTTCTAGGTAAGATTTTTTGGGGTCCTAAGAGGGTGGACTTTCAGCTCTGGAGAGTGGAAATTTTGATTTCCCGGGGCCAGGGAGAGAGGCTGTGGTTCAAAAGAGCCCCAGTGGATTTTCTTTCTGGTTTCCCAACCCCCCTACTCAGTCTTATGTGGGTAGATTGCCACTTCCAAAACTTAAAAAAATTCGAGTGGTTTATCCTGCAAAGGGATTCCTCTCCATTTGGCCTGTGTGACCCAAGATGCTAGCCCAGCTCTAACTCCATCATCTAACAAAGCAGATGGCTCTGTTTCATGCTCAGAAGACACCTTACCTCCTGGGAAATAAACTTTCTTTTGCCCTTCTATATTCTACTACTTCCTGGTTCCTCTGCCACCTTTAATGTTATCATTGAACTAGAAATGCACCAATCTCTGTGCACCTCATGGTTTCATCAGCAGAGTGCAGGCTGGATTTCAGTGGCCACTGGTCATCTCTTCAAGGAGTCTTTTGACAGAGCACAAATGGTTCAACTGAGGAGAGAATGGGGTGGCACAAAGAGAATTAGTCTGTGGAAGAGGAAGCCCCTGATGGTCCAAAAATCAAGTGGATTGGTTGAGGATTATGAGTTTCTTTGACATTGTCTCTTCAGCCTATTCTTTCTCTTGATAGTAGAAGCTTTATGAGAGAGGGGCAGCTGCAAACTCTGCTATGAATGTACAGGATCTTACACCCTGCTGGATCAATTTGCTTCCTTAAAGAAATACTGCTCCTGGGTCCCAGTCCAATACACAGATGACCTGGTTTTTCTTCTCTGGCCTCCAGGGTTATGCCTTGCTGCAAGTGCCAGGAGACAGCTGCTCTCGTTATACTCAGGGATGGAGGACCCACTCCTGGGTCCCTGTCTCTCAAGCCCTCAGCTAATAATGTAGGCTAAAACACTGTCTAGGACACAGCTGCCCTGATGAGCTCCTTTGTTCTTCTCTCTAGCTTTTAAATCTTCTCAGCCCTTCTTTTCCCTTTAGCTTCATTTCTTTGACACTTTTCTCTTTCTCTCTCTTAAATATATTTCTTCTCTCCTACAATGTGATCTAGTCCTCTACTCCATGGAAAAGGAAAACTTATTTCAACCCAGAATTTGGGGGCTTCCCTTGTGGTCCAGCAGTTAAGATGCCATGTTTCCAATGCAGGGTGGTGGATTTGATCCCTGGTTGATGAACTAAAATTCCACATGCCATGTGGTATGACCAAATTAAAAATAAACCTAGAATTTTATAACTCAAAATAAATTAAAATAGCCTGTGCATGATCCTGATATTGAATGTTTGCTAGAACATACAATAAAGCATATCCAAACTCTAATCTTAGTTACAGTGATCCAGAAGTTATTTCTAGATGACTGTTCTTGAATTATATATACATGCCTTAAGCTTCATGGTGCTACAATAGGAACTTTCTTAGTTTTTTATAGTTCTATTTTAATTTTTGTCTCTAACTTCCTTTCCTCATGTCATTTCCCTCAAGAAATTATAGAAGAAGAGGAGAGATAAAAAACAAACAAATAGGGGTTGATGCCAAGTTCTAGGGAGTTTGTGCAGAGTTGAGACAAAGTAGGCAGTAGAAATTTGGGTCCTGAGAAATTGTATGTCATTCATACAGGTATCTGAGTCCTTCCACGTCCCTCAAGTTGTCATATATTGTTCATAGTCTGATAGACCACAAGAGTCCAAAAGTTGTCCCTCCAGGAAGAATAGACCTCACCCTGGAGGCTTGGCAAACTTAGATCTTTTTTATAAATATATATATATTGATAAAATATATATATATATATATATATGCCAAATAAAAACACAGTTTCAGTTCAGTTCAGTTCAGTTCAGTTGCTCAGTCTTGTCCAACTCTCAGTGACCCATGAACTGCAATAATAATAATAATAATAATAATAATAATAATAATAATAATAATAAAAGAGTGTAGCAGAACCAGAACTCAGAGATGGAGTCCTGGAGCTCCTCCTCCTCGTCCTCACTTTTGACCCCTACTTTCTCACCCTTCAATTCTCCACATTCTGAAAATGGTAGAATTCCAAGAAGACTGCATGCATGCCTGAGCACTCTCGGCCACTCCTAATCTCCAGCCAATATCTCATTTTTTTACAGAATCTTCACCCAAAGTGCGACTGGTGAGAGGTCCCCATCGCTGTGAAGGGCGGGTGGAAGTGGAAAGGAATGGCGAGTGGGGCACTGTGTGTGACGACGGCTGGAACATGAAAGACGTGGAAGTGGTGTGCCGGGAGCTGGGCTGTGGAGCAGCCAAGGGGACACCCACTGGTAATTTATATAAGCCATTGGCTGACGAAAAACAAAAAATCTTCATCCAAGAAGTCAACTGCAGTGGGACAGAAGATCAATTGATTAACTGTGACCAGCTGGAAGATGTTTATGATTGCTCCCACAGCGAGGATGCAGGCGCAATATGTGAGAGTGAGTATGGCAGGACTCAAGGACTATATGCCAACTGCCCATAGCCTGCATGACCACTCTTTGTCCTCTTTATCTTTATTCTCACCATGAACTAATGGTTACTGATTCCTTGTCCTTCACTTCTCACCCTTTCTCCACTGTGGACCCTGGAGAGAAATATATCCTCACCTTGAAGTGTTACTCCTCCTTGGTTGAACAGTGGCACTAGTGTAAAAGCACCCTCCTGCCAATGCAGAGACTTAAGAGATGTGGTTCGATCCCTGGGTGAGGAAGATCCCCTGGGGGAGGGCACAGCAATCCACTCCGGTATTCTTGCCTGGAGAGTCCAATGGACAGAGGAGTCTGGCAGGCTACAGTCCATAGGGTCACACAGAGTCAAACATGACAGAAGTGACTTAGCATGCACACTTGGTTGAACTAATGATTTTCTCTTAGTTTCAATCTTATTTTTTTTTTCCATTTATTTTTATTAGTTGGAGGCTAATTACTTTACATCATTGCAGTGGTTTTTGTCATACATTGAAATGAATTAGCCATGGATTTACATGTATTCCACATCCCGGTCCCCCATCCCACCTCCCTCTCCACCCGCTCCCTCTGGGTCTTCCCAGTGCACCAGGCCCGAGCACTTGTCTCATGCATCCAACCTGGGCTGGTGATCTGTTTCACCCTAGATAATATACGTGTTTCGATGCTGTTCTCTTGAAACATCCCACCCTCGCCTTCTCCCAGAGTCCACAAGCCTGCTCTATACATCTGAGTCTCTTTTTCTGTTTTGCATATAGGGTTATCTTTACCATCTTTCTAAATTCCATATATATGTGTTAGTATACTGTAATGTTCTATCTTTCTGGCTTACTTCACTCTGTATAATGGGCCCCGGTTTCATCCATCTCATTAGAACTGATTCAAATGAATTCTTTTTAATGGCTGAGTAATAGTCCATGGTGTATATGTACCACAGCTTCTTTATCCATTCGTCTGCTGATGGGCATCTAGGTTGCTTCCATGTCCTGGCTATTATAAACAGTGCTGTGATGAACATTGGGGTGCACGTGTCTCTTTCAGATCTGGTTTCCTCGGTGTGTATGCCCAGAAGTGGGATTGCTGGGTCATATGGCAATTCTATTTCCAGTTTTTTAATAAATCTCCACATTGTTTTCCATAGTGGCTGTACTAATTTGCATTGCCACCAACAGTTTTCTCCACACCCTCTCCAGCATTTATTGCTTGTGGACTTTTGGATAGCAGCCATCCTGACTGGCGTGTAATGGTACCTCATTGTGGTTTTGATTTGCATTTCTCTGATAATGAGTGATGTTGAGCATCTTTTCATGTGTTTTTTAGCCATCTGTATGTCTTCCTTGGAGAAATGTCTGTTTAGTTCTTTGGCGCATTTTTTGACTGGGTCATTTATTTTTCTGGCGTTGAGCTGGAGGAGTTGCTTGTATATTTTTGAGATTAATCCTTTGCCTGTTGTTTCATTTGCTATTATTTTCTCCCAATCTGAGGGCTGTCTTTTCACCTTGCTTATAGTTTCCTTTGTTGTGCAAAAGCTTTTGAGTTTCATTAGGTCCCATTTGTTTATTTTTGCTTTTGTTTCTAATATTCAGGGATGTGGGTCATAGAGGATCCTGCTGTGATTTATGTCGGAGAGTGTTTTGCCTATGTTCTCCTCTAGGAGTTTTATAGTATCTGGTCTTACATTTAGATTTTTAATCCATTTTGAGTTTATTTTTGTGTATGGTGTTAGAAAGTGTTCTAGTTTCATTCTTTTACAGGTGGTTGACCAGTTTTCCCAGCACCACTTGTTAAAGAGGTTGTCTTTTTTCCATTGGATATCCTTGCCTCCTTTGTCGAAGATAAGGTGACCATAGGTTCGTGGATTTATCTCTGGGCTTTCTATTCTGTTCCATTGATCTATATTTCTGTCTTTGTGCCAGTACCATACTGTCTTGATGACTGTGGCTTTGTAGTAGAGTCTGAAGTCAGGCAGGTTGATTCCTCCAGTTCCATTCTTCTTTCTCAAGGTTACTTTGGCTATTCGAGGTTTTTTGTATTTCCATACAAATTGTGAAATTATTTGTTCTAGTTCTGTGAAAAATACCATTGGTAGTTTGATAGGGGTTGCATTGAATCTATAGATTGCTTGGGTGGTATAGCCATTTTGACAATATTGATTCTTCCAATCCATGAACACGGTATATTTCTTCATCTGTTTGTGTCCTCTTTGATTTCTTTCACCAGTGTTTTATAGTTTTCTATGTATAAGTATTTTGTTTCTTTAGGTAGATATACTTCTAAGTATTTTATTCTTTTTGTTGCAATGGTGAATGGTATTGTTTCCTTAATTTCTCTTTCTGTTTTCTCATTGTTAGTGTATAGGAATGCAAGAGATTTCTGTGTGTTAATTTTATATCCTGCAACTTTACTGTATTCGTTGATTAGCTCTAGTAATTTTCTGGTAGAGTCTTTAGGGTTTTCTATGTAGAGGATCATGTCATCTGCAAACAGAGAGAGTTTCACTTCTTCTTTTCCTATCTGGATTCCTTTTACTTCTTTTTCTGCCCTGATTGCTGTGGCCAACACTTCCAAAACTATGTTGAATAGGAGTGGTGAGAGTGGGCACCCTTGTCTTGTTCCTAATTTCAGGGGAAATGCTTTCAGTTTTTCACCATTGAGGGTGATGCTTGCTGTGGGTGTGTCATATATAGCTTTTATTATGTTGAGGTATGTTCCTTCTATTCCTGCTTTCTAGAGAGTTTTAATCATAAATGGATGTTGAATTTTGTCAAAGGCTTTTTCTGCATCTATTGAGATAATCATATGGTTTTTATCTTTCAATTTGTTAATGTGGTGTATTACATTGATTGATCTGCGGATATTAGAGAATCCTTGCATTCCTGGGATAAAGCCCACTTGGTCATGGTGTATGATTTTTTTAATATGTTGTTGGATTCTGTTTGCTAGAATTTTGTTAAGGATATTTGCATCTATGTTCATCAGTGATATTGGCCTGTAGTTTTCTTTTTTTGTGGCATCCAATCTTAGTTTTGCTTAGTTTCAGTCTATCCAAGAACCTGGTTCTCTTCTTCAAACACACAAACCTTCACAGATCCAATAACCACTAAACATTTGTATCTAAAGCTCAGGTGGAGTTATGAGGAAGAAATGAGCTCCCAAAGTATAGGTTTATCAGTTCTCAAGGTTCTATCATCTAGCTAGGTAGACAGGAGATGCTCATTGGAAACCAACATACAACTGTGTATATATATGTATATATATATATTGTGTGAGTGTATGCTCATTGTCCTTTTTCCATGGGATTCTCCATGCAAGAATACTGGAGTGGGTTGCTCTGCCCTACTTCAGGGGATCTTTTCCACCCAGGGATTGAACCCAGGTGGATTCTGTACCCACTGAGCCTTGTATATGAATGTGGTGTGTGTGTGTGTGTGTGTGTATAAAATAGATTTATCCCTTAGCCAAATCACATTTTAATGGAAAACGAGATAGACACACAGAAAATTATTAATGCATAGAAAGAAAATATATGAAAGGAATAAAGGAATAGAAAAACAATTATATATATATACTATATATATATGGACTAATCCCTTAGCCAAATTACAGTCTAATGGAAAAGGAGATAGACACACAGAAAATTATTAATGTATAGAAAGCAAATATATGAAAGGAATAAAGGAAAAATTATGAAAAATATATGAAAGAAATAACAAAAGAATACACACACACACACACACACACACACACATATGTATATATATGTAGGCAGTAGAAATTTGGGTCCTGAGAAATTGTATTTCATTCATACAGGTATCTGAGCCCTTCCATGTAGCCCAAGTTGTCATATACTATTCATAGTCTGATAGACCACAAGAGTCCACAAGTTGTCCCTCCAGGAGCAATAGACCTCACCCTGGAGGCTTGGCAAACTTAGATCTTTTTTATCACTATATCTATCTGGGGCTGAGAGGACTTGATGGGATTGCTTCAAGCCTATTAAATATAATCTTCTGGAGGACAGCAATGCTAGCTATCTTGATCATCACTGTTCTCTGTGTTCATAAAACAGTACTTGGAATGTAGTATCCAGAAGCTTGTTTCCTGATAGGTTCTTCCCTTGTCTCCCTGCACAGTCCTCTATACTCCATGTATAAGTCTCAGTTTCCTCAGAACTTATCTGGAGACCCTGTGAAGCCCATGTCCCGTGCCCAACACATAGAATCTTCTAGACCCAGTTTTAGGGCTCTGAGACTTTGAGGCTCCAACTCTTCCCTTACCTAACACTCTCTGTATTACTTCTGAGCTAGGTTCTTGAACATGGGAAAATGTCATGGGAAGTAGCAAGGATGGTTGTGAGTGGATCATTGATATTGAGAGAGGGTGAGGTTGTTTAACCCAAATTATATCTAGACATCCCCATGCTTTCAGTGCAGGGGAAATAGGCTCAATCTCTGGTCAAAGAACCACAACCCACAGTGGTTAGAATGAAAACCACATTACAGAAAGTTAATCAGGATGAAATGTCACAGGGTTATGACCCAGATTAAGGGACAAGATAAAGGCCCAGAAAAACAACTAAATGAAGTAGAGATAGGCAACCTTCCAGAAAAAGAATTCAGAATAATGATAGTGAAGATAATGATAGTGAAGATAATGATAGTAAAGATCATGGGATCTCAGAAATAGAATGAAGAAGAAGGAAGAAATGTTTACCAAAGACCTGTAAGAACTAAAAAGCAAACAGACATGAACAATACACTAGAAAGAATCAATAGCAGAATAACTGAGGCAGAAGAACAGATAAGTGACCTGGAGGACTGAATGGTGAAAATCACTGCCACAGGACAGAACATAGGAAAAAGAATGAAAACAATGAAGACCAGACTAAGAGGCCTCTGGGACAATATTAAACACACCAGCATTTGCATTATAGGGGCCCCAGAAGGAGAAGAGAGAGAGAAAGGACCCAAGAAAATA